GGTCACCTTTGAATTTCAGGTGGGCTCATTTTTCTGTTTTTATTATTTTTCTTACTTAGATTTTTGTTGCATTTTAGTGAGGATTTGTGATTGGTTTTATACGAACAGGTGATCACAAGATACCTGCGCACCTACATTGAAATAGAAACAACCAAAAAGAAGAGGGGGGTCAGCATTTGGCTTTTAAGAGAGGGTTTTTGGGAAAATTTTACTAGAGCTTGAGTGGTGGTACAAGGTACGGTGATTCAAGAAGACCCTACAACGAGGAAGACACTCCGTGACGAGTCTTGGGACAGTACCGAAGAAGTCTTGGGACAGAGCAGTCTTGGGACAGTGGTCTTGGGACAGGGTCTTGGGACAGTGGTCTTGGGACAGGGTCTTGGGACAGTGGTCTTGGGACAGTGGTCTTGGGACAGTGGTCTTGGGACAGGGTCTTGGGACAGTGGTCTTGGGACGGGGTCTTGGGACAGTGGTCTTGGGACAAGGGTCTTGGGACAGGGTCTTGGGACAGGGTCTTGGGACAGTGGTCTTGGGACAGGGTCTTGGGACAGTGGTCTTGGGACAGGGTCTTGGGACAGGGTCTTGGGACAGTGGTCTTGGGACAGGGTCTTGGGACAGTGGTCTTGGGACAGGGTCTTGGGACAGTGGTCTTGGGACAGTGGTCTTGGGACAAGGGTCTTGGGACACTAGTCTTGGGACACTAGCCTTGGGACACTGGTCTTGGGACACTGGTCTTGGGACAGTAGTCTTGGGACACTAGCCTTGGGACAGTAGTCTTGGGACACCAGCCTTGGGACACTGGTCTTGGGACACTACCCTTGGGACACTAGTCTTGGGACAGTAGTCTTGGGACACTAGCCTTGGGACACTAGTCTTGGGACACTAGCCTTGGGACACTGGTCTTGGGACACTACCCTTGGGACACTAGTCTTGGGACAGTAGTCTTGGGACAGTAGTCTTGGGACACTAGCCTTGGGACACTAGTCTTGGGACAGTAGTCTTGGTACAAGGGTCTTAGGACACTAGCGGAGAGTACTGTGATAGTGACGAATAGTCTTGGGACGGTATAAAAATTGAAGTAGAATCACAACAAGTGTGTCTTAAGACAGAATAAGACAAATCGAAATAGGTACGGTTAAGACCAAATTAAGGAAAGTTTTTCGGAGGTTTAAGAAAGAGAATTGGATAAGGTTTTTAACACGTTGTACAGAATTTGTTACCACAAAAAAATATTTTTTTTTACCCTTAGAATAGAATCGTGTATATAATAAAATTGTAAATAGGAGCAGTTGTAAATAGAAATAATGAGGCGGAGTAGGGTACCGGTGCTCGAAAAAGGGTCAAGTGGATCAAACACGAAATATAATTCATCGCTGCGCGGAACGACATCAACGGGCCCAAAGATAACGAAGACGAACTTTTCAGTTAACATGGCCAGCACAAGGAGTACAGCGGAGAACAGGGCGAAAGAGGGCACGGAAGGGGAGCGAGTAGAACCCACCATCGAGATTGATCTAGAGACACCCGATCAAAGTGTGGATGAAACAAGGAAGATGGCGACAGAGTCAACTCCAATGCCCAATGCAGAGGAACCGAACCAGAAACCCATAGAGTTCTCACCGATAGATGACGCGGAAGATGCAATAGGCAACACCGAAGAAACGGTGAAAGAAGACTCTCAAGTAAAGAGGACATCTTTTACGGAAAAATTGGGAATAATGTTCGGAATAAAAACAAAAGAAAACGTGACTGAAGAACCAAAAGCAGAAAGAGCACGAACATTTGGGACAGTGAGCACGAAGACCTCAGAAGCCAATCCAAGAGAGGAACAAGCTAAAGCAGAGGCTACGGCCGAAGAGAGACCGACAGCTGACCATGAAGAGACTACCATTGAGCTGGGTGACTTGTTGGCGAAATTAAATCAGATTGACAAAAGACTTAAGCACAGTGAAGAAGACAGAGAGGTGATAAAAAAGGAGATAAGATACAACAAGCACGAGTATCTAGACAGTTATTTTAACCTAGCTAAGGCAACAGATGAGAGACTCAAGGAAATGTCAGATAAGGTAGAAGCCACCAATGAAGAACGAGAAAAGAACATCAAAACAGACATGCAACAGTTGAAGAACCGATATGATGATGTCAACAGCCAATTAGGGAGCCTGGAAAGGAGAATGGACACAATGAGCAAGAGTCAAGCCGAGAGTTCGTGTGCAATACAGGCGAAGTTGGATGCAATCTTGAGAGGTTCCACTCCACAAGAAAGACCGGCAGCGGATCGTACGCAAAGCACCAGAGTTGACTTTGTAGAACCACAAAGGAACAAACGGCAATCGACACCGTTGCCCTTAACCAGGGATGCGATAAGCATAGCACCAACAGCTGCGAAAACAATAATGAAGAATGGAACGTCGAATACAACGACTGCTCCGGGAGATTCAACAGCTAACAGCAACACAGGACCGGATGCTATGACATGGGCCAGCACTTGGGAGATGATGAACAGGACTCTAGAGGCCTTCGCCACGAGGAACACTGACTCGAGCGACAGGAGAGAGGGAAAATCAAGAAAGACATTCAAGAAGCCAAAAGAATTCAAGGACGACTCCGATGGATGCATTGACACTTGGGTGGAAGTGATGAGATTACATCTAGAACAAGACAACTTGAGTGACGAAAGACAAGCATGTACAGCCATACTGAGCAACTTGGAAGGAACGGCATTAAAATGCGTGGTCGCAAAGAAGGAGGAAGAACGCGACACCGCGGACAAGATCTTCGAGATATTGCTGAATCGATTCGGGTCAGGCATGAAGGGTCACCAAGCGATGATGCGATTTGAAAAGAGAAGGCAGAGGGACGACGAGTCAATAGATCGGTTCCTAGATGACCTCGAGAGCTTGAGAAGGAGGAGTGACCCAGAGGAGTCGACAAATAGACGGAACTTTAGCATTGCCTCGAAGTTCATCGATGGGGTGAAAAGTGATGACTTAAGGACAATGTTAGCAACATACTACACATTGTCGAAGGACAGCGCACCCACCCCAGAAGAAATGAGACAGAAATCAAGAGAATACATGCTGATGAAACCTAAGAAGTACTCATATTCCGAAAACAGGAACACGCAAGGGGGAAGCCAACCCCAGAGGTCATCATGGTACAAACCTAGAGATGATATGGACAAGCGCAGATCATGCGCGAACTGCGGGTCAGCGGATCATCATGTGGCTGACTGCACAACGTACAAACAAGGCATGAAGAGCCTAGGTTATGCACCGGATGAAGAGGATATGAGCCAGATGGAGGAACACGAGTACTATAATGGCTTAATCATCAAGATAGGCGCCAGATGCTTCTTCTGTAACCAGGAGGGGCACTTCAGAATGGATTGTCCCTTGTTCTGGGAAGCGGTCAAGGACCAGAATCACCCCAAACATAAGTTGGCATTAGCGGCGGTGCAGAATCAGCGGAACAGGCAAAACGAGTTTGAATCTAGGAACTTGGGGGCACCAAACACCGAATTGCCGACGAAGACAGTGAAAGCTGTTACACATGTTAGCGGTGCGTTAGAGTCCGCGGCCGGAAGCTCTCTAGAGATAAATTATGAGAAAGCGGCGACGGAAGCAATTGCCAAAGTGAAACAAGATCTGGCTGCGAAAGAAATAGAGCAACGACTAAAGTTGGAGATCGAAAGACAGAATTTTAACGAAGCATTAACCGGATCGAACTCAATACCAGAGGCTAGAACGGGCTCAATGAAGACCGGGAATTGTAACACCGTGAAAATGGTGACAGGTAAACCTTTTGGAATATCGAAAATCGGAGCAAGAATAATGTCGATAATCACAGTGGGCGGACACGAGGTAACCAGAAACTTGAGCGAGCCGAGCGACCAGACGATAATGCACATTGACGTGTATGCAGACTACTTGAGTGGAATAAGTCCACAAACGACTTCTAGAGCGCTCAGGGCACTACTCATGAGAGGGGGCAGCAAGTCGGTACGTGTTGATAGCAGATATACTGAAGCTTACGGTCCACACGAGGTGATGCTAAATATAGATGGGATTAACATCTATACCAAGACGATGATAACATGTGACGAAGACCTAATTGGACAAATCTACGTAGGGAAAGAAGAATTGAAAGTGAGATCGATTGGACACTGCGCCATGCTTGAGGAAGATGCAATGCACATCGGGACGGAGGCAGATGTGACAGGGCACGTGCTGGATATAAGTGGCAAAAAGACTCAGTTGCGTGGGTTACTTGATACAGGAGCAGTCTTGAGCATCATACCAATCGAAACTTGGGAAAGGATGGGCTTTGACAAAGGTGACTTGATAGACTCGAGAATACGGCTGTCAGCTGCAAACAAAGGGGCCCTTCGGGTGCTGGGCAGGACGCCGATAATAGCCCTCAATTTGGGGGAACGTAACATGTGGATGAGCTTTATCGTGGTAGAAAACCTAGATGAATCTGACCAATTCATTTTGGGCAGAGACTTCATCAGGAATTTCGACGTAACGATTGATCTAAATAACGCAATGTTCAGGATACGGAACCCGGATAGGAGGTACGCAATCAAACCGGTAAATTTAATAATGGCAAATGAAAACAAAGCACCGGTATTCTTGAGTAGGAGGGTGAGGCTAAAAGCTAATGAAGCGGCAATCGTAAGCTTGAGGATGAAAAATTACAATGAACTAAGTGACAAAAAGCAAGTGTGTATAGTTCCGAATCCTAATAGTCAAAGTGCTGCTGTTTTAGGAAGATCATTCTCGATAACGAAGAGCGGCCTCTGCGTCAGTGTCTTGTTGAATACCCTTGATATACCGATCACGATACAGAGAGGGAGGAAACTGGGATATGCTTTACCGGTTAAAACTCGATATGAAACGATCGAGAACTCAAAACAAAATGAAGCTGTTGATTGTCCCAATCATAGGGACAAAATTTGTATCTTGAGACGATTGCAGAAAATAAAAGATTCTTCAGGTCTTATTAAATCACTTAAGTCAGAAACGGACGATGGGCTTTCGAGCTGTTCGAACTTTCCAGAGCGACCCACGCTAGATGAAATGCAAACTGATAAACCGGTTCTGCCGGAGATTGAACATTTAAGGGGCAAACTGAAAGATGAACAGCTCGAAGCTATCAAGGACGTACTAGAGCGGAACGAGGAGGTTTTTTCAAGGCATAAGGCGGATATCGGGTGTTGTAATTTTGTTGAACATGAAATAGAACTTGAGGAAAACGCGGTGCCACACAGGGAGGGGGCGAGGCGCATGACCCCACACAAATCGGACGCGTGTAGAAAAGAAATCGAAACGTTACTAGAGTATGACATGATAGAACCATCCAAGTCACCGTGGGCGTGTGGAGTAGTGATGGCCAAAAAGAAAGGCGACCAGTTAAGGTTTTGTTGTGACTTTCGATACCTGAACTCCGTCACGGTGAAGGATGCCTATCCCATACCTAGAATTGATGAGAGCCTCTCGAAGTTAGGTGATGCGAAATTTTTTACGACTCTTGATTTAGGCTCGGCCTTTTGGCAGGTACCATTAAGGAAGCAAGACAGGGACAAGACAGGGTTCGCCTGCGAGTTGGGTCTGTTTCAATGGAAACGGATGCCGTTTGGACTCTGCAATGCAACATCCACGTTTCAGCGGCTGATGGCACACGCGTTGATAGGCGTGACGAAGAAGTACGGCAACCTGGTAATGTGCTATGTGGACGACGTGGTAATAGCAACGCCAACACTAGAAGACCACATCGAGAGGCTTGACGAGGTGTTCGCGTGCATGAAAAGATCGGGGCTGAAGTGTAAACCATCAAAGTGCGAGATACTCAAGGACTCGATTAAATACTTGGGCAGGATGGTAGATAAACACGGTATCAGACCTGACCCAGACGCCGTGGAAGCAGTCCTAACCTGGAAATCACCGAAGACGGAGCACCAGCTGATGAGCTTCCTGGGTTTCGCCAACTATTATAGAGAATTCATCAAGGGCTATGCGGACAAGGTATACCCGATGCAACAATTAATGAGACACAAGGGCAAGAAGTTCACGTGGAACAACGCGGCAGAAGAGTCATTCCAGAGAATAAAGAAAGAGCTGTGTGAGGCACCAGTACTGGGTATGCCGACTGAGAAGGGGATGTACGTGCTAGACACGGATGCGTCAGTAGTCGCTATTTCTGGGATTCTCCATCAAGAACAAGAATGGAATGGGAAGACAGTCTTGAGACCAATAGCATACGGGAGCAAGGTCCTAAGTGACACAGAAATGAAGTACGGAGCACCGAAAGCAGAGATGTTTGCGGTGGTCACCTTTGTCGAAAAATACAGAGCATACTTAGGCAGTGAGCCCTTCAAGCTGCGAGTCGACAACCGAGCACTAAGCTGGCTGAAAACGTACTCAATGGACCAGAGCTATATTGGGAGGTGGATAGTTCGCTTGGATGGATACAACATGATAATTGAGCACAGAACACGAGATAAACATCAAAATGCTGACAGCTTGAGTAAGAAGACGGAGTTCTACGAGAGGCAAGAACAAAGAGAGGCGGACAGACCTGAGATCAAAGACGGCTTCTCCTTCATGGACAAAGAAACGTACGACAGTCTTCCACTCACGAGATGGCTGGACAAATCAGGCAAACCGATTGAAGATCATCCCGAATTGCCGAAAGAGCCTCTTGAAAAGACCATCTTGAAGAAAAGCAGAGGGATTCCGATAGGAATAATGCTCAAGTCCAAGATCGTGAGGGAAACACTTAAGGCAAAAGGTTATGATCTCATCCAGGTAGAGGAGGGAACGGTCCGAATAGATGAAGACTTAATGAGGTTGCTTGAGAAACTATCAGATGACAAGCCCGTGATCCAAGGGAAAGGTCAGGAGGCACCGGAACTAACCATACTTCGGAGAGAAGAAACAGTGAACAATACTGACGTCTCAAAAGGAAGCATCACTGATAGCAAGGAAGTTGTGCGATCACTAGTTGAAAAAATCCCCGAAAAAATTCTGGAACAGACAAAAGTCAGGGATAAGAAAGTAACATTCAGAGAAGAAGTTGAACACCTGGGACTAGATCAAGAGTCCGGGGAGTGGTCCAGATTCATGGAAGAAGACGAAACCGGAGAAGGGAAATTGTCCGGGGAGCGTGAAGAATGGGATGAAGACTCGGATGAGAGCAGCGAAGACCAAGACAGTCTATGCATGATACTGGCGGAAGAGAAGATAAGACAGCACGACAGGGAATTACAGACGGATCCATCTTCAGGGACGTACAATCTGGAAATACAAGAGGTACGAGGTGGTGAAGAGCTCGAGAAAATAGCAGTTTCAAGAAAACCACTAAGGGAACTATCGTGCAACTCAAACGTCAGAAGGAATCTGGTACCAGAAGACGACATGAAAATCGTGAAAAGGATGACATGTGTGAAGCTGAGCGATGACATCCACAACCCTGGTGAAATGAATGGACAGATCATGGCGCTAAAGGAGCACGTTAAGGCGAGATACAGGCTGTCTGACCTAATAAGGGCCCAGAAGAATGACAAAATGACAAGTAACCTCTCCAAATGGATCCATTCGGGAGTCAAGGAGAAGGGGGAACTTGAGGAAGACAGCTACAAGATCTTGAGCCAGTTCTACAAAGAAAAGAGAGATTTACTTTATCACACAGCTGAAGGGGTGGTAGCGTGCAAGAGAAGAGATGAGGAAAAAATATTACACAAACACAACCTCATCATACTACCACAATTGTACCAAACGGAGGTGCTTTTCAGATCACACGACCAGATGGGCCACCAGGGGATAGATAAAGTACAACAAAGGATACTTCACAGGTTTGATTGGCCGGGAATGAGAAAAGCTTGCGAGAGATGGGTGAATGCCTGCCTAGCATGCCTTCAAGTAAAAGACCCAAGGAAGATGAAGTTTTCCCTCAAGTCTGTCGAGAGTTCGGAATTCAATGAAGTGGTGCAGATAGACCATCAGAAAATCTGCATGACGGAGTCGGGTTATAACCAAATACTAGTTATAATAGATCACTTCACCAAGTTGGCGGAAGCGGTTCCGTGCCAGACAGCCTCGGCAGAGGAGACATGTGATCACCTGATAACGCATTGGATATCGCGGTATGGTTTTCCAATGACTTTCCAGTCGGACAACGGCAAGGCTTTTGTGGGGGACTTGACAAAAGAATTGATGAAGAGATCACACATTGCTCAAGCGCACTCGACGACCTATCATCCACAGACCAATGGGTTGGTAGAGAGACAGAACAGGACACTGGTCAACATGCTCAGGGTGCACTGCTCGAGATACATGACGGACTGGGACAAATACCTGCCACAGGTAGTAGGAGCCTATAATAGTACTCAGCACTCAACGACGGGTATCAGTCCTTTCATGATGTTGACAGGCAGGGAAAGGGCAATGCCTATAACATTCTTCTACCCGGAGTACGAGGGGAAGAGGACGTCACCTCAAGCATACGTGAAGGAAGCGATCAAAAGACAACAAGAGCTAAACGAGCTATGTCGGAGAAACACGGCGCAAGCGCAAATGAGGCAACGCAAGAAATATGACGAAAAGATACTAAGAGCAAAGCCATACGAAGTGGGCCAATACGTGTGGGTCTTCCAAAATGTCATACCGCCCAAGGGAACAAAGAAACTACTCAAGAAATGGAGAGGACCGTTCATGATTACGGAAGTACATCAACAAGGACGGTTCTATCGCTTGAGTACAGGGCGAGCAGCACATTACGAAAATCTGAAGCCTCATGTCCCGTCCCCGGAGGACTGGTGCCTACCAAAAGACATGGAAGGTCTTGAGTACCTGGTGGTGGAACCAGCGTGCGAGGTGAATGAGAAAGGCACTAGAGAGAAAAATGATGGTAATGAGAACTTGAGTTTGGACGACAACGAAAAGATAGAAGTGGAGTCGGATGCAGGTTCATTTGTAGAAGAAGACTGGAACGACCCAGAGCAAAACGAGGTACCGAAGTGGATGGAGCCGGATCGACCAACACCACCGGAAACCAGGACTGGCAATCGTAAACGAACAGGTATGAGGTACAATAGGTACGGGGATGACTTCTTGATCGATAAGATACAGCCAGACAAGTTGGGCGATGAACTACTAAGCGCAGGCGAACTGGAAGCCGAAGAGGAATGGCAGGTCATTGACGATGGTGGACATTATCCGCAGGATGATTACTCGACGCCAGAATTGGAGACGGATCTCGAGCAGAGTGAAATAGAAAGGAGGGAGAACACGAACTTGAGGATTCTAGAGTGGATGCGTGATGTCAAAGACGAGAGCCGCGAAGGACAAAGCATTCAGCAAATCGATGTATCAGCAGCAAATTACATGAAGACAGAGGACCCTCTTTTCGGATGGACAGCAACAGACAGGCCACTGGACATCCCCAAGGACAATTCAGACCCGACTACATCGACGGGGACGTCGATAAATATTTTTGTCCGGGGAGTGGGGGTAGGACTTACCCACACCGAAAATTTGATGATAAAGAAGCTCAAGGAAGTGAGGGAAACAAGCGGATTGGAACTGGAGGAAGAAGAACCAGAGCCTACCATAGGAAGGAATTTCAAAACGAAATTCGAAATACCCAATGAATACTCAGAGAACATCATGATAACGGATAGCGACTTCATCCTGTCAAACAGGACCAGCGCGATCTGCATCACGGCGGACATGAGTTTCAAATCAAGATTGGAGGCTGACTTCAAAAGAGAGTACCAGAACGTAGAGTTTCTGTTCAGACAGAGGCCAGGACTGGGAGGCATAGCAGCGCTTCCACCGTCAGTGGCACAAGTCCCGGGCAAATACCTCTGCTTCCTAGTAACGAGAGTCAACGACAGAAACACAATTGATCCCGAACACGTGATATTGGCACTGACAAGACTACGTGACTTCATGATTGAAAGAGGAATAGTGGAGGTCTCGATGCCGGTGTACGACCCAAACAGGGGC